GGTATAGCAAAAAGCAAGACAGTTTTGCAGCAAGCGTTTCTAAAGCTGAGTATAAAGCTCTATCGGAGGGGGCCAAGGAGGCCATTTGGTTGAGGAGTTTGTTGGCAGAGATGCATGTGGGGGATGGGAGGGCTATTCTATTGCTCGGTGATGATGGGACAGCTTTCTCCCTTGCCCACAATCTCGTTCTCCATCAACGCACCAAGCGCATTAAGGTGGCATGACACTTTGTACGGGATGCGGTGCGCCAGCAGGAGGTCGAGGTGCACTCAGTACGCTCCCATCACCAGAATGCCGACATGCTCACCCAAAGCTCTCCCAAGCTTGCAGCTGCATGAGAACCTTGAATGCATCGACATGCGAGTGATGGCTCCGAAGGCCAAGGCTTCATTCGCTGGAAGGGTTGTGTTTTGATTCATGGGTGAACTTTAATGCCTATTGGAGCAAAGAGGGGTGTTGGAATTAAGGTTAATTTGGGTTGCTCCAATAAACATATGTAGTGGTAGATCTACAATATAGTAGTGTAAAATATATTGGTTGGGTTGGAAGAACTTTTGGTGTGCACTCTTTAGAGTGGACCACCTCCCAAACCCTAAAGGCTAGGGTTATCTCTTGTTGGAACTTCACTTCTTGATAACTCATTTGGTTCTAGCATGGTTCATGCCCAAGTTGGCTCCTAAGATTCTTAGGCTTTAGGAGGAGGTTCTAAGACTACTATAGCTCTCGCTAGTAGCTTAGACCATTCCAATACATTTTAGTCCCACGTGCACAAAATAATTAGAAAATTCTAAAATGGTCAACCAGCAGGCCCCTAGATTCGTTTTGAGGTAGTCTGACGCCTCAGAGTACACCCCTCCTAGAACTCTGTCTGTCAGAGGTGCCTCAAAATTTTAGTCTGAAAATTCAGACAAGCACAAATTTTTTTGTCTGAACTGTCAGAGTTACCCTCAAATTTTAAGATGATGATGCAGTATCGTAAAAGCATATTTATAATAGCATTGAAGCTAGTCACAACATACCAACTCAACTGTGCGGTACGAACCAGTCAGGGTCGGCGGGTTTGCATCACGCAACGTGCTCGTGCATCGCTTTGGTTGTTTTGTCACGTGTAGCGCATGGGCTATTTCTGCTGATTAGATTTCGTCTCGTCGTGTGTGTGATTACCGTTCTGTACCCATTTTCTAGCCTGTGTGCCGATTTTGTCAATTTTGGATTTGCGTTTCAAGCGATGTGATTATTCACCCGATTTGGTTGTTGTCACGCACAGTGCCAGGTGGGCCAAGTGCCACGCAGCTGAGCTGGCAGCAGGCAGAAACTGTTGGTTGGCGTGGCGTGTGTGAGCATCTGGCAGTGCCGCACGGGACTTTCACTATGAATCAGGAGCTTCGCAATTTCACAGCAGTGCGTGCTGCAGATTTTTTTAAAAAGAATCAGCATCAAAATCGCCAATTCTTTAAAATACACTAGCGATAACTTACATGTGACGAGATTTTGTCTACGAAATCTCGCAATCACGCAACCATTTTCTTAGTGTAACTGGGAGATATTCTCGATGAACGAGTGTATTCGGATGTCCCAGCTGTTGAAGCATGGTTTGCTCACGTCCTGGCACTCCACTGCCATCTCGTAAGTGGGCATATCGAAACGAAACTTCTAGGAAACTTTGTTTCGATTAGCTCGCAGAGTGCACTTCCAACACAAGTCTGAGGCTCAGCCTACACCCCTAAAAATTGGCTGAAATTTCAGCGGTTACAATAAAAAAAACTCTGAAAAATCAGAGAAGGTACATAAAAAAAAACTTACAGTTCAGACCAGGTACCAAAAAAAAGTCTGAATGGACGCTGAATCAGCGTAAAAAGTCTGATATCTAGGGCACTGTCGACCAGACAAGACCTAGAAATTTCATATCCAGCAGACTCACAACACAAAACACAAAATGTCTGATGCATCAGACGCAATAAAATCCTAGCAAGGACCCTGGGTACTGGTAACAAGCAAGCCCTCAGATTCGTTTTTTGCCTGTCTGATTCATCAGAATAGTACACAATTTTAGTCTGAAACCCTCAGAGTTGGTATAAAAAAAAGTCTGAAATTTCAGAGTGCCTTAATAAAAAAGTCTGAAAAATCAATGTATCTAATGTTTCATCAGAATTGTATTCAATGCTTCATCTGGTACTGAAACATACTAGACTAAGGGGATTTTCGGGAGACATGCTCTGACAGGGCGAATTTCTGTGTCAGGGCGAATCTTGTGGTGTGAAAGGGCGAATCTGCAATGTCAGGTGAAATTTCTTGGTGATTGGTCGAAGTCATTGTGCTCTGACAGCGCAAATCCGATGTGTCAGCGATTTTGATGTGATTGGGCGAAAATCTTGTGCTGTAAGGCGCGGATTTGCAGTTTCAAGCCGATTTTGCGTTGACCTGTGAAGTTCGAACCGAATCGCCAGTCAAGAACACATGCAGAAAATAGAATCGGTACGCGTTTGTACTCCGAGTGATCAGAGCACACTCCCGGAAAACTCTGAAACGTCAGAGTTAGCTCTAAAATTTCTCTGAAAATTACAGAGTTGAAGCCCAAAAATCTCTGATTTTAACAGACCTCACTTCTGAATTCTCAGAGTTTTTCATGCAAATCAGAGAAATTTCTCTGACTTCTGGGGGCCTGGTAACAAGGTACAGAGAATTTCTCCAGATGACGTCCGCCAATCATGTCAAAGCCCCTGATCTGATGACTCTACTGCACTACAGCTCATCTGGGTACACATATTGACCTGCTACCTACAGTACCAGAGCAAGTCTTGCCATTATATTCTGTGAACTGGGCATCACTAGTAAATCCACCTGTAACAAAAACTCTTGAACATGAATCTTTGACATTCACCTTCTTGGATTTGCCCTTTTTGCAGATGACACTTGCTGTAAATGACCAATACTCTGCCCTCAGACAAACCTGGCACGACAGAAGACAGGAATGTCAAACTTGAGATGTGACAAGAACGCAAAATAGAGGCAGATGGTTATCAAGGTAATAACAGTTTAAAAAGCTTGACAGGGAATGGACTGCTAGCCAACACAGTAGTGCCAAAACTGGTACTCACAAGTCCCAAGTTCTGGCCCATTGAAGAACTCATGAACCAAGCTTTACCATTGTCCACTGCTTTGCACTCCCGCCTCTCACTCCTTTCCCATCCCCACTACTACTTCTCCACCCTGCGAGCCTCATGGCCCCTTCCCGTCCCTCAGTCCTCCACTACCCTCTCCTTATCTCACTCACTTCCCGGTTTTCTCCAGAAAATATCTGCCCTTCCAACCCTTACCTGCACTTTAATGTAACTAGGGATGGCGCTGGAGCAAGTGAGGCCGGGATTGTTGCGGTACAGCTCGGCCCAGTTGCTTCCATTGACAGCCCCACCCGCCTCTTTGCTGGTCCTTCGAAGCAGCACCTCACACGTGTCTTCCGCTGTCAGCGTGTCGTATCTTAGACACTCAGGAACAGTGTAGGCGAAAGCAGTGCTGCGCTCGATGCAAACTGACTGGCCCGCCTTCAGGCCATTGGGCGAACAGTCGAGGCCGGGGTTGAGCTTGGCAAGATCTCCCAAACCCAGACCAAGCTGAGTGCTGATGGATGCACAGGTGTCGCCCTGGGGGTTGGGCAAAGCAAGGGAGAAAGCACGTGTTGAGTGCGTGTGGTGCTGCCTAGAATGGGGTGTTAGTTGGCGAGGCTAGCTGCTTACGACCACTACATACAATGGAGAAATCAAGAAAGCACCACCTCGTCTCACCTTGAGGACGTAGAAGAAGGCAGTGCAAGGGATGTCAGGAGTACCATCCAACTGAAGGACGCTGCCCTTGGGCAATGGCTGGTTGCAGTCTATCTCCTGCATTGTGGAACACTTGCATGAAGTGACGTGAGTGCAAGCTTGTAGTCATCTTCCCTTGCTCACCAATACAGAACATCAGCAATGTTACAGATGAAAAAACCAAGTGTGGCGCAATGAAGTAACATTCGAACCAGATAGGCGCGGCCAACAAAACCTTAACCATATAGGCATTCACCCGTGAGCCCAATCTTTACCGCATTGCTAGATTTGAATTCTCCCAATAAAACGCCAACAAGTGCAGAAACATCTGAACACTGCCAGTTGTCTCCCATAACTGTCATGCTGGTGGCTGAAGAATTCGCTGTAGAACGTGAAAAGAGAGAGACGAAGGTAAAAAGGCAAGAAAAGGAGAGGAGTAACGCTGGGTTGGGAAAAAGAGGTCTCAGAAAAAAAAAGGCACATTTTTTTTGTTCTTTTTGCCAGAAACTCGAAGGAATTAAACTTCACCTGGATCACATGTGGGGAAGCCATAGAGTGTGACTCTTTCGATGTAGTTGGGAGGGCAGATGCAGGAGTAGGAGCCCTTGAGATCGTTGATGCATGTGCCCACGTAGCAGGGGTTCTTGAAGTATGATCCACACACGTCCACTGCCACGGGAGAAATTGAAGACAGCAGGGAAGATGAAGCAAGCAGGGACATACGGACAAGCGAGGCATAAGGATAGGATGTGCAAGAAAAAGGCAAGGGTATAGCAGGGGTCATCATGCCATGTTACGTTCCCTCCAGCATGGGTTGAGAAGACAGGGGAGGAGAAAGGGAGAGCGCAAGATAGAGTGGAGAGAGAGAGAGAGAGAGAGAGAGAGAGAGAGAGAGAGAGAGAGAGAGAGAGAGAGAGAGAGAAAGAGAGAGAGAGAGAGAGGAAGACCTTAGCCCTCTGCCCTCTGCCTCATCCCTCTGCCCTCTGCCCTCCAGAGCTATTTAAGGGCTGTCTCACCCTCCTTCTCCTCATTATTTTGTGTGGGGTTCATTTTCGGCGGCTCGCGCCGGCGGCCGCGCGCTCCTGGTGGCAAGGATTTCAAGCGACAGCATCGTAATAACGGGGTTCAAGCACACATCAACAGGACGGGAGAGGGGATCTACCTAAAAGGGCGACATGCAATACTACACACGGCGGAAGCCTACATCGTGTACGGCTCCGGCCCCTCCACCTCAAGCATCGAACGCATGCACGTCGACACCGCCAGAAGGAGCTGCGCCGACGACTGAACCATGCGCACCGGGGTCCCCTCTTGGGCGGCCACAAGAAGATCCTCCACGTGGCGGGGGAAGGTACGCGCTAAGGGCGCTACCCCGGCGGGCGCTTCCGACACGGGTGCCAATAGCGGGGCGAGGGCTTCTGCCCAGGTCGCGCACGATCCTCGGGGACCTGGAGCGAAACTGCCCGGAGAGTTTCGCATGGCCCCACACACCGCCATCTGCAGGTTCACCACCACCTCGCACGCCTCCGCAAGATTCAGCGTCCGGCACATGGTCAGCATGGGGTCTCTCCCCGCGCGAGTGGGGGGAGGTGCAATCGGAGCCTCACGCTGATACGCTGTCTCCCGGCCCGGAAGTCGGCCTCCCGAGAAGGGCTGCGCGGAGAAGCCAGGGACCTGCCGAGGGGTGCGGAACAGCGCCCTCCCCTCCCGCGCGGGCTGATACTCGCTCAATACCGGCGCGCGCAGAGGGGCCGCGACGTCAGGGGCTAGGGCGTGAGAATGACCGTTGGTCACCTCGATGTGGACGTGAGTTGGCTCACCAGTCGCTCGCGCCTGGCGCATCGCCGCTGCAAATACATTCACGACTTCACCAACCGCAGGATCCTCCCTGCGACCAGCTCCGCCGCGACCCGCTCCATTCCGCCGACCCCGACGGCCACCAGAGCCCGCCGAGTGCGGACGCGGGGGGGATTGCTCGCGGCGCCCAGAATCCCATCGTCGCCCAGGAGAACCCCTCCCCCGCCTCGCCGGAGATCGACGCGGAGAGCGCTGTGCGGGGGATCGCGCTCGCGGTGAGCGCTGGGCTGCCCAATCTTGGGGAGATCGGTGACGGGGAGAGCGGGGGCTCGCAGGCGACAGCTGATCGCCAGCTCCGTGGCGGCGAAGCTCGCGTTGACCAGGAGAGCGACGCCGAGGGGAACGTTGCTGCTGGGGCTGGCGCTGCGGCGATCGCCCACGCTCATGAGGCGGCTGTCCAACCGGACGATTCGACCCAACGCGGGCCGGCGCCCACGAATACTCAGGAGAGTTTGGGCGCGCGCTCGCCTGATGAGGTAGAGACAGCCCGCGCTCCAGACACCGCACGGGCTCAGACGCGGATGGATGCGCAGGAGCGCGGAGACGGGGGGCAGCGGGCGCCTGAGGACGGGGGCCCGAACTGTCCGCCGTACTCTCTTGCGCGCGGTCGCGACCCGCGGAGGGGTCCATCACGCCCGAACGAACCGCCGCGGACGCCAGCGGGCCGTCAAAGGAGGGGCCTTGGTACCGCCTCGGCGCCACAACCGACACGCAATATTGCAGCGGCGGCCTCCGCGCAGCACGGAATCCGCGTAGGAAGAGGAGGGAGTCGGGGTGGTCGTAGAGGAGGCGCTGCGGTTCAACGACGGGGCGCTAGTAGCTTCTCGAGGGCTGCTCACAGGATCCTGAGGGAAGGGCTAGAGATGGGGAAGAATCGAGTGACGAGAACTCTGTGGGTGACCCTCTATTTAACCCTGAAAGAGAGGGTAGCCCCAGTCCCTCCCCCGAGTTAGAAGAGGCAGAGCAGGCTCGAGATGTGGACCGAACTCCAACACCGAGCCGAGCCGCATCTGCGATCCGAATTGGAAGACAGTGCCGAGTCGGGGGGGGAAACCGAGCCGCACAAATTGCAGATGGCACCCCAACTCGGGCCAATCAGCAGAGTGCAGATGCACCCACAGGCCTGCCCCTGTTCAGTGCAGGTGACCTGGCAAAACGCCAGGACCTTTTCGCTGATGTCGCAACCTGGGACCTACACCCCCTTCGCGACAGCAGGCAACCACCTCTCGCCCGTCACCCACCTCGCACTCTTCGCGAATCTTTTGCAGCCTGCCTTCTCACCCCGCTTCTACACCTTGCAAAAGACCCTGACTCGCCCGCAGGCTGGAGACTGCTCATGTTCCTCCCGCGCATCCTCTTGCGCACCTCATCAGCCAAGCGCCCAGATTGGTCAAAGGTAGGAGCCAGGCTGATAAGGTTCCGCCAAGGCCAGTGGCGGAGCCTGTACGACGAGGCGGCTGACGCAGTATCCCAACCACCCCAGCCACGCCATGCGCCAGACACCACAGGCATCCTGGCAAGGGCAGAGGGACTCGCCAAACGAGGGAACCTAGCAAAATCCCTCCAATCCCTCACGGCCACGCCAGTCTCCCCCCCCTCAACTGACGTGCTTCGGGCTCTCTCAGCTCGACACCCCCCTGCGCGCCAATCCATCCCGAAGTGGGTGCCAGATTTCACCACAGAGTGCACCCCTTCAATCCCTCCACGCGACTTCAGACGCATTCTCGCCAAATGCCCGAACGGAGTGGGCGCTGGTCCCTCGGGGACCACCTTCGAAGACCTGAGGGACGCAGCACTTGGGAATACGGACATCTTCCTGCAATTGGACGCACTCACAAACACGGCGTTAGCCGGAAAACTCAGCGCGGAAGCAGCAGAACTCCTCACTGCGTCACGCTTACTTGCTTTCACGAAGCCCCATGGGGGCACACGGCCTATAGCAGTAGGCGAATGCCTGCTCAGATTAGTAGCAAAAGCGGCTCTATTCTTGGCGGCTGAGAGAGCACGCGATCACTTCGCACCGCTGCAATTCGGGGTGGCGGTAGCAGGTGGCATCGAGGCGGCGGTGCACACGGCAAGGACATACCTGGAGGAGAATGACGGGGCTGTGGCGCTACAAATTGACCTGGCAAACGCATTTAACGCGGTCGAGCGGGCAACAGTGTTCGAAGGCCTCAAGGGGACCACCCTGGAATTCATGGTGCCTCTGGTCCGGCTCTCCTATGGTGTCCCCTCGGAACTGCACCTCGACCACGCGTTTCATGCTCCCCCCCTACAATCCGCACGCGGCGTAGCGGCCAGCATTCACCCGTGCCTGGTAGCCGCGGCGGAGGCGCACCCAGGAGTCGTCATCCTCGCCTGCGCGAACGACATTATGCTCCTGGGGGAAGCTGAGGCGTGCACAGAGGCATTCAATCACCTCACCAGGGCGCTGCTTCCCCTAGGCCTGGAACACAACCCCAAGAAGTGCGCAGCATGGTCGGCTGCGCACATTGACCCCGCCTCTCTTCCGCCGCATGTACCTTTCTCGGCGGACGGGATCCGCGTCCTGGGGAGCCCAATAGGCCCGCAGGCGGGATGCGCGGCGCTGGTACAGGAGCGCCTGTCAGCAGCAGCAGAGCCACTTCCGCTACTGTCACAAATGGACCCGCAGCTGTGCCTGCTACTCCTAACATGGTGCGTGAGCCGCCGCGCCTCCTACCTCGTCAGAACGACGCCCTTGGAGGTGCTGCCAGCGGACACCTGGTCAGAGTGGGGGGAGCAGCTGCTACACACTTACCTGACGGCCAAGGTAGAAAAAAGCGATTGTCGAAAAATACGATTGTTTTTTTCGATGGGTTTTTACGGTATCTTTTGGGAAAAAAACGTCGTTTTTTTGTTAGACAAAAAAACTCTTCAACTTCAAAGATGCTGTTCTGATCACAAAAGCACTTCTAAGAATCTTCCGCTGCATCATCAGCACTTCTAACGGCCCCCTTGTTCTTCTCACCAGTCAATCCCCTTGTTTCAGCAGCAGTTTTGGTCTTTTTACTGAAAAAAACGAAGGTTTTTTTGCACCAAAAGTAAATATTTTATAAAACCGTTTTTTATCGTTTTTTACGATCGTTTCTTACGATACGGCATTTTACGATCAAAATTTGAAAAAAACGTCGTTTTTTTGCACCTTGCTGATGGCGGCACACACGACGATACCCAGGGAGGAAGAAGAGCGGGGGAGAATCTGGCGGCAGGCCGCCCTGCCCGTGACGCTGGGCGGCCTCGGCATCACCAACCTAGCCACGGAAGGGGTGTTCGCTTACCTAGCCTCGGTCATTTCCACGGCCCACCTGCTGCGCTCGTTCGGCGACACGTTGCACCCCTCAATCGCCCAGATGCTGCCGCTACTAGATGCAGACGCGAACTCACCCTCGGTCCTGCCAAGGCGCCTCGCAGCGGCAGAAGCCACGCTGCCCCCAGATGGACTAGAAACTCTACAGGCCGGCCGACGCGGGACGGATGGCCCGAAGCTACAGCAGGCCCTGTCGCTGGCCGTCCACACAGCCCGCTATATTGAGGTGCTCGATGCCTCGCGGGAGATGCCCCTGAACCCGCTCTACGGCCACACCCAACGCCTGCAGTCACTCCTCGGCCCCGGGGCGGGAGATTGGCTGCTAGCCATCCCCCTGGTCCCGGCTCTTCGCCTCGGCCCCTCGCAGCACTCCACTGCATCCTCCTTCCGCCTAGGCCTCCCCCTTCCCGTCCCTCGGCGCTGCGACTGCCGCCACCGCACGACCTTCCCTGACCACCGCCTACCCAACCACCTCATGCGTTGTGAGAAAGGCGGGGGGAGGATTGCCACTCACCATGCTCTTCGGGATGAGAGTGCGAAGATCGCAGCAGAGGCAGGCTACACGGTGCACAAGGAATCCACAGTGTACTCACCGGTCAAAAACCTCAAAGCGAACGTTTGCATCCGCCATCCCGACACCGGCGAAGTCCACATGTGCGACATCACCGTGACGGACCCAGTCTCTCACCAGGACGAGTTTGCGCGGAAGACGCCTGGGTGGGCTGCAAGGATGCAAGCCGCCAAGAAAGAAGACAAGTACGCGCGGCGGAACGCGTGGGTGGGCTTCCATGCCATGGCGGTTGAGACGTACGGCTACCCGTCCCCGGGAGTGCACGCCTTCCTCCGCAGCTGCGCCGAGCTCGCGGGCAACGCTGCACCAAAGTCAAGGGAGGTGGCCAGGCTCCTTACGGAGTACCGTCAGCGCTGGAGTGTGACACTCCAGCGCGCCCAGGCCAATGCTCTTCGCGACAAGACCCACGAGGCCATTGCCGCGGATGAGCTTGGCCTGCAAGGCCCGTTTGGCAGCTTGGGTGAGGAGCAGCTGCACCAGCTGCTGGAAGACCCCACAGGCCAGTAGGGCCGTGGGGAGAAGGGGTAGGAGTGGCATGAGTAGTGGTACCTTTGTGTGTTTTCTTGGTTGTTGGCTTGCCTGTTTGTCGTTTGATTGCTTAGACTAGCTTAGTACCCAGGTCTGTACCTTGATGATACTAATACGAAGGACCGTTCGAGAGAGAGAGAGAGAGAGAGAGAGAGAGAGAGAGAGAGAGAGAGAGAGAGAGAGAGAGAGAGAGAGAGAGAGAGAGAGAGAATGAGGCAGCACACCCCCAGATGGCAGCGGACCCCTGGCCGCTGCACCTGGGGGACATCCTACACACGCTGGAGGGCTAGAGGGTCACTCAGGGGGGAGGGGAGGGGAAGAGGGGTGAGTTGATGGGCTTATGGGATAGAGGTTATCATGGATAGAACTGCATGTCTGTACCCCTGCTGAATTAATACAACGGACCATTTGAGAGAGAGAATGCAATAGTAGTCTCCAAGCGACCTCGTACTTCGTAACCAGCAGCAAGATCTTACCATAAGCACAGGTTTTGGAGCCACCTCCATTGTCAACCTCAACAAAAGGTTGAACCGTTTGAGCAACTTGAGGAATAATGCAGCTGCATGTATGGCCTTGAGTAGTCTTCTGGCACGGGAACCGGCCACACGGGTTCATGCCGTACAAATCCTGGTCACCCTTGTAACTATTGTTGCTGCAGGGGTCCTCTGGAACTGAAAGGTGAAGAAGAGGGTACAAGTAAAATGCATCAGCACAGAAGTTTGTCGACTGTAGGACAACGCAACGTGCTGGTGAATCTGGAACTACTCATACCATGCTACCAGCCACGGTACATAGAGCACCACTCTAAGTGTTGTTGCGCCTTTTCCAAATTTGCGTGCATCCTGAATGAGCAAGAATGAGAACACCCTACATTGCCAGTTAAGTTCGAATAGAAAGTTCCCTGAAAGACCACTCGTGACAGCATTTCAAAATGTTGGAATCCAGAGAACAAAAGTGCTACCAATATACTTCCCTATGGAGAAGTGTTTCTCCCTACAAGTCCATTGCTATGTCGACCCCCTTAGATCTCCTACCTACCACGAACCAGCACCTGGCACGGGTCCAGGTCTCGTGCCGTGCATGTTGCATCGCCCAATGGGTTTCATGCCTCACCTGCACCACCCCCCTGGACCCCCTTCCCACTGGGGTGGTCACAGTGGAGACTCATCCTGCTCCACATGCCCCTGTAGGCCTGTGCCAACAGTCTTCCCCCCGTAAAGTCTTGCAACAAGGCAGAAAATGGCTGGGCCCGATCCCCTATCCCTACGTCCTTAAGCGGGCTAGGGCTGGCTTGGCGTGCCCTGGGGTACAAGGAGGGCACGGCTTCCCACCCAGCTTCTTCCAGGCCCACCAGGTCCTTGCATCGCATCAATGCTCACTGACCCACCCAGCAGCCTCAGTGCCACTTCTTTCGCTGATGAAAGCTGCAAAACCTAGCCCTACCACCACCCCCACACCTAACTGGCTCAGCGCGAAGGAAACTGCTGCACAAGGAGTGCTAAGTCCCATCTGGCCTTACGTTCTACCACGCTCTCTCGGCCAACGACACGGCATGACGGTCGACGGACCTGAACCCCCGGAATCGCCGCTCACGACGACTGCTCTCTGTCTATCAGGATATGACACAACGCTTCTGGCAGTCCATCCCTTTGCCTCAGTCCACAACGCTCTGCAACCAACTTATGGATATGGGGTAAGGTAGCCTTTCCAACAATTCTGCCAGAGGTAGTCGGTGGCACTACAGCGTGGACAGGCCATCACTTACCTTGTCAAAGCTGCCTCAAGCTGACAACCCACCGGTCGGATGTCCTGCTGAGTCCCCCTCTCACCACTCTTTAACAATTAGGTAATCACTCTTAACAACATGGTAAACGGGGTAGATGCTTCACTTTTGACAATGGGGTAGATGCCAGGCAGCACGTTGATGCCACACACGCCATCCCCTCCCCGTATGTCCATGCGCATGTGGCCCCTGTCGCCCCACTCCACTCCCCATGAGTTGCGGATGATCCAAAATGGTGGAGGGATGCGGTTCTGGCTGCCGTCGTCTCGATTGATGAAGTAGCCAACGACGAGCACCACATGGTTCAGATTGCCCGTGTAGCACGCAGGGTCCTGGTACTTGAACGACTGAAAGGAAAAGGGGGACATGGGATTCATCCATCATAAAATCAGAGGACAAGTATGATAGCTGCGAAAAATGAAGCTAAACCCAAGATTCACCAATAACTGCCGTGTGTCTGCAAAGATACAAAGTCCGCGAAGCTCCACAGTGCATGAGAGCTGCAGCAACTCACCCCATCATATTGGATGAATGTGTCGGTCGTAGCCTCGATATGAACCACCACTGGCTGGCGCCGCACTGCCAGCATGAGCCCAAAGTACCCCTTGAAGAGCGCCCGCTCAAATGCTGCCACCAGGTATGTAGTTTCCTGGGAACACGAGAATGGGTTTAAAAATATGTGAACAAGCGAGAGTGCAAAGTCGCTCTATGCTTTACGGAAACCAAGAAAAGAGAGTTATTTTGATGCCAACGTCTCCACATCACCCGCCTCACTCCATGTGGTTCCTACCGGGTCACTATTATCTGTGAGTCCACTGCTGGCATCAAGAGTGACGAGCTTCTCAAAGGCGGCAGTGGGGGAGCCTCCAGCAGTGCACTTGTCTGCATCGGTGAGCCCCATGGCTGCAAAGAGGGACTCCACTGACAGCTGGGGAGCGGCTTGATTCAATGCGATGCCGTACGCAGCCTCCACACTCGCCACCACCGCATACGCCCAGCATGCACCTGAGGATAAGTAGATATGGTATGGGAACAGTGAATCGTGCTTCGACTCTGAGGGTGGATTAACGCTGAAGATATATACGCCCGGCATGCATCTGAGAAGCAGACACGGGTAATATACATTCCCAGCTTGAGGACCTTTCTGCCCCGAGCAGCGCTGCACATGGTAAATACATCTGCGGAGGCAAACACCACAACTTTGGACGAGGTTGTAACTTGCAATGTGATACGATGCTGTGAAATAGTCGTGCACCATGTGAACCTGAAGAACAGAGGTCCTCCGATCTGGAATGGTCCACTGCCACGATTCACAATAAATCTCCATCCTCTTGTCACTCACTGCAAAGCAGCTGATCCTTGACAGGCCACTTGAGGAAGGCCTTGGCGTTCCAGGAGTGGAAGTCACGGATGGCCCACGAGTCCACGCTTGCATCGTTGCCCGTCCATTGGTAGTCCGTGCTCACATAGCGCGAGAAGGGGTTCGCTCCAGGTGGTGCAAACGTGCTTTTTGATACTGTTAATCCAAGTTCTGTTGAGGGGGGATGGGGTGGGGGCTCGCATTGAACACAAGACAGTACACTAGAGTTTGCAACTTGGCACAATAAAAAAGGAGCAGACTTATGTGCCGTTGTGCATTCAGCATAAGCATGCGCGGTCTATCACATCGGTTCCTTTTTTTTTCCCTCCGGTTCGAGTAAAACCGGACTGGTTTTTCAAGAATCATCATCGCCTCGCCTCCAGATGGCTTTGGAGAACGCCAGGCTTCCAGGTTTCCAGGATGACATTTCACTCAAACAAGGCATAATAAGATCTTTCAAAATTGGAGGATTATAAACATTCTGAAGAAACAATGTGCGGTTCGAGTAACGAGTCTAATGCATTTCGGTTCCCGTTGTACATGAAACCGTGTTCGGTGGCCGACTGCGGTTGGTTGGACATTTTGGGTTGCGACAAATATTCTCCCGACATCTGCCCTACCTTATCTTTCTGACCATTCCGGTTGCCTTATTCTCCTCACATTCATGCCAGTTCCTCAGAAGTCAGCACCACCGGTCTGGCTGATGATTCCATGTAGCATTGCCTTACCGCCGCTAGCATCAGTACATAAATGTAGGCATGAGCGAATGTACGAACCCCCATTCGGTTCGTCACTGCTGTGCAGCAAATATGTCAGTAGGTGGTTTCTCACCTTTGGTCTTAAAGGTCGTGGGTTTGCCACCTGTCCACTCATCCCATGCTCGCCTTGCTGACCTGGCCCTTATGGTGTACCATATGCTGCCATGTGGCTTGTTGTTCCAGCCCGGCCCACATGTGCATTATGAGGCCTCACTTGTTAGCTTGGCAAGGCTACTCTTGCCCTCAGCTTTGAGGTGCTGAAACTAGCCTCAAGAGTTCAGCCATATATACATGGCTTCCTACTTCACTATAAATCATCCTTGGACAAGGACCTTGCTCTGGTATCTACGACTTGTACCATCTACCTGCTAAGGATATTTTTTTCTTCCAGTTGTGCCCTTACATTCACCGATCCTTTTTCTACGTGGTATCAAAACTAGCCTTCTAGCTTAGTGATCGTCGCACACGTGATGGCTCAAGTTTAGACGCCTCTCGGTCGGCACACCCTTCCTATCTTGGAGCCAGATGGTTCCAATTTCATTCAATGGAAGAAAAAGATCTGCAACATCTTCAATGTCCTTGGGCTCGATTCCCTTCTTGGAGATCCCAAGGTTGCTGCCTGCCCTTCTATTTCATCTTTCGCAACCAGTAGTGGAGATGCTACTGAAGGCAACAATGGTGCAACCCCTAAACCAGCTCATTCGATTGCATCGCTGCCGGATGAAGAGAAAGAGGAGCATGCATACTATCTCCTCATGTCGGCCATCCATCCTCAGCTCTCGCTCACATTTGCTGAAGCCAACACGGCAAAGGATATGTGGGGATGCATCATGGCGGGGTTTGACTGCATGGGTAACCATGCACACTCCTCTGGGATCTCATCACTACACAGATGGATCCAACAGTCTTTGCTCCTACTTCGATTGAGTTGGAAACTTTGCGCACCAACTCAAATCTGCCGACTTCAGGTTACCATCCCAGGTGGTGGTATTTTCCATCATTCTCAATCGTCCGAACTCCTTCAGACTCTTACTGAAACTAATTGCACCATGAAGGACATGAAGTCCTTGAAGGTTGAATACCTTCAATCGCGCCTACTCGATGCTGATTGGGAGCCGCAACATCTGGTGCAAGCCGCAACATGGAGAGTGCATACGACCTGCAATCCCACCACTCACACCCTCTTCGCTCAGGTTCCCGCCAGTCCCCTTCATGCTGTTACTGCAAGAAAACAGGCCACTATTGACAAATGCTTCCAGTGAAGAAGAAAAAGGAGCTTCAAGAAAGGTTTCGATGGGAGAAATCTGTGATCCAGCCTTGGGTGCATGTGTCAACAAGCTCTGCCGCTGAAATCACTCCAATCTCCTCACCACCCCCTGCCCCATCAGCCCCACAGTTTGTACATGATTCACAATATGTTGACATTGCTTTTAGCACAAGCCACCATCCCATCCTCCCCACATGGACTCCTCTTGTCGCTGTCTTCCTTTTCACCATCTTCCTCCTCCTTCTGCTACCCATATGCATCGGTATTAACGGCCTCATCCTCTACCATGGTCCGGACCTCGTCTTGGCTGGTGGACAGCGGCACTTCCTCCCATATCTGCTCGGATGGCTCACTGTTTTCATCTTTCCAGAAGCCAAACGATGATAATATTGATCATTTTGGTGCTAGAGAGACAAGGTCTTGGGATTCAGCACAGTGGTAGCTACTCTTTGTTCACAAACCTCAGAAGCCAACATCAAGCTGGACGACGCTCTGTTTCTCCCTTCATCAATTCACAACCTGCTCTCAGTTTGTGCACTTGGGGCTGCCGGCATTGCTGTTTCTTTCCCTGCTGCTGGACGGGTTGAGCTCAAATGCTCTGACACTACCCCGCTGCCACTCCCATGGACACACCCGTGACTTCCTCCCCGCACCCTTCCTTTCCTTACACCTCGTGCGTCGGATGGGTTCCCGTTCCGACCTCGCATATAGCGCCGGAGTACTTGCTCATCACCTTCACGATTGGTCTACCACTCACGTCTCGGCTGCCAAACGCGTTGGGCACTTTTTAAAAGGGTCTACCTCCCTCGGGCTTCTCCTTGGTGGCGTTCCGAACGCCCTTGAACTTTCATAGGTGGTGTGATGCATCTTGGGGACCATAGGGGGAGCTCTGACGCTCCGTTACGTGCTACTTGTTCTTCCTCGGTCCGTCACTCATCTCTTGGCAGTCCAAACGCCAAGCTGTCGTCGCTACTTCATGTGAAGCTGAATATTATTCTCAGGGCGCCGCGGTGCATGAGGCCTATGTGGAGAAAGACGCGTCCTGCGTCTCGGACGCTTGCATCCAGACGCAACGTCTTAACCGCAGGACACTAGTGGAGGGCCTTTAGGACGCATGAAAAGACGCATGCCCGAACAAGGCAAAAAACACCCCCGGGCAGCCGAAAAATGATGTTATAGGGTATGGTAAGGAGGGGGGGGGGGGGGGGGGGGGAAACGACGACGATGCACACATTTGAGGAAAAATCGTCCCCTTTAAATTTCCAGGGTTTAGGGTTTACGAAGGAGAATTGTCTTGGTAAACCCTCAAGGGTGTTTTTGATGGTCGAAATGGGTTAGGGGGGGGCCGGGTCGACATGACGCGAAACCGACAGTCGCGTCGAAATCGTTAGAGTCAATTTCGCCCTGGGGCAAAAAAAAAATTCCGGCCAGCCCGAAAAAAAATACGGGGTGCGTCCTGCGTCTCTGCGTCTGGACGCAGCAGGACGCGTGCCTGTTTCTCCACATAGCATGAGGCATTATGGCTTTGTTTCCTCCTTACTGCACTTGGACTTCCCCCAACCGGCCCCACCCGCACCTCATGTGACAACAACTAGGCATGGGCATCTGGCCCGACCCGGCCCGACCCGTCCTGTTTAGGGCGACCCGTTAGCTTAACGGGTCGGGTCGGGTCGGGTTAGCGGGTCGGGTTTGACTCTGTTTTGGTGACCCGATCCGCCCCGTTGGAACGGGTATTTGTGACCCGTAACCGGGTCGGTTACACCACGGGTCGGGTCGGGTCGGATCAAAATATGCTACATAGCAGCAGGGTATGGTGGCACCTTGGCGCTGCTCCAGGTGGCGTTCGCGATGCTGGAGGTGGGGACCGCGATTCTGGCTGGTGGCGTTCACGCTACTGCAAGGCCGCTATCGCGCTATTGCGGGGATGCGATCCCGCCAATGCGTGGCCGCGATCGCGCTGCCCTAATGTGGTGCCGCGATCGCGCATATGCGGAGCCGCGATCGCGCTATTGCGGGGACACGATCCCGCCAATGCGTGGCCGCGATCCCGCCAATGCGTGGTCGCGATCCCGCCAATACGTGGCCGCGATCCCGCCAATGCGTGGCCGCGATCCCGCCAATGCGTGGCCGCGAGTGCGCTGCTGCGCCCCTGGTCGTGCGACACTGGGAAAGGCAGGGGCGCCTATGCCTATAATGAATATAAATATTAAAATAGTGCTAACATTGAAGTCAAGACTGTAAGAGTTTTGGTAGGTGCAGTGGAGATTTACTAACTTGATTAGAGACGTGATCTGAATGTCGAGGGGAACAAAACATAAAAACCAACTGATGTTCTCCCTCTCTCCAAATTGTACCCTAAGCAGAGAACGGGTCGGGTAACCCTGTCATTTGACTGGGTATGCAACCCGGACGGGACGGGTCAACCCGACCCGACGGGTCGCTGATACCCGTCTATAAATCACATTGACGGGTCACGGGTCGACCCGACCCGCCCGGGTAAACCCGACCCGACCCGGACGGGTCGACATTCTCAGCATTCCTGACCCGACCCGCCATTTTAGGCGGGTCGGGTCGGGTAACCCGACCCGTCCGGGCCAAATGCCCATCCCTAACAACAACAGTGCCATCATTACCGCAAAGGACGATGGCGTCTTTCATCCCAAGGCCAAGCACATCGACATCAATCACTATTTCAATTGTGATCATGTTTCCGACCACTCCGTCACTCTTCACAAGACACCCTCGCTGATATTGGCACCAAGCATTTGTCCCGTGATCCTTTTATTCGCGTCTGCGCTCTTCTCGGTCTCACCCATGTCTCTTCTTGAAGAGGCCTGCCCCGGGGACATCCTTGAGGGGGGGTGTTGTGCAGCAGGTATGTCCCAGTGGGTAGTTTCTCACCTTTTGTCTTAAAGGTCGTGGATTCAACTCTCATTATGCTCACCATGACATGTCCATACTCCACCACACTCACCCATAATGAATTGTGGTCACAATTAACATTGCCACCTGTCCACTCATCCCATGCTCACCTTGATGGCCCCTATGGTGTGCCAAATGCTGTCATATGGCTTGTTGTTCCAGGCTGGCCCACATGTGCAACATGAGGCCTCACTTTCTAGCTTGGTTAGCTAGCCTTGCTCTCAGCTTTGTGGTGTTGAAACTAGCCTCAAGAATTCAGCCATATATACGTGGCTTCCTACTCTACAAATCGTCCATGGACACGGACCTATCTCTAGTCTCTAAGACTTGTACCATCCTCCTGCTAAGAGATATTGCTTCTTCCTATTGCGCCCTTAAGTTCACCGATCCGTTTTCTCCAGTCACGAACGATTCAAGAAGTTCGAACCACTAAGGCAGCGGCAACCACCATGAAAGTTCCATATCAAGCCGTTCGAACTGGTATAAACTGCGCGGGCTATGTCACGTCAAATAGATTTAGTTCGACACAACTTTAATTATGGACTTGAACCTAATAAGGATTGTTGGGGCCTGTGCGGTCTGCGTCACTTTTAAATTTTCTTCACAGTCAACCAAATGAAAAATAGGGGGAACAGGGGGAAACGAAGGGTCGGGCCAAACTTGAACCGACCTGACCCGGAACCACATTCAGCCTAATCTGTCTGTCAGGTCCACCAAAGGTTTGATCCAAAACGGTTTAGGGTTGGATCGATTACCAGGCCAGGCTGACTCGTTTCGTGTCAAACTGGTTTAGGATTGACCCGTGCTCATGCCTAATTTGGCATATGCAAAAAGAAACGGACCAGTATTGTTGAGTTTTACTACAACCGTGGTTTTCCCATATACTATGTGGGTTAGGGATGAGCAAGTGGCGAACACGAACGTGTTCGTGTTCGCCCCTACACGAACACCTTCGTTTGCCGAACCGAACACTGTTCGGTTCGGCGAACACTTTGAGCAAAAAATGGTGTTCGCCGTTCGCCTGTGAAGGCGTGTTCGGGCGAACCTCGAACACTGTTCGTGTTCGTCGCGGGCAAATTGCAGCAGCGGCCCGAACACAAACGTGTTCGGGCGAACATCGAACACTGTTCGGCGAACATTTTAAGCCAAAAAAAAATACCTGTTCGGTTCGCCTCGAACACGTTCGAGGCGAACCGAACAGGTGTTCGTGTTTTTGCTCAACCCTAATGTGGGTTATCATACAACCAACTGCTGGCTGTAGGCATGAGGAACTACTGAGGACCCATCCCGAAAGCAGCGGGCCAGGCGGGTGCTGGGTCGGGTCGGGTTGGTACATTCGGGCCAGAGTTTTCAAGACCTTGACCTGACCCGGCCTTGTAAAGTCGGATTTAGATTGACCCGGAGTCAATCGGGTACGGTAAAACCACCCTGTTTAGGCGGCGGGCCTATGGCAGGGTCAAGAAGCTGTGGAAGGCCCTCCCTATGGGCGGCACTCACCACTGCACGGATGTGGTTGCCAGTAGCGATCTTCCCCAAAAATGCTGCAAAAACGCAATGAACACTATAACTCTTAAGTATGAGTTACTTAAAGGCTCCCAAGCCCTTAAAGTCTTAAGTTTCATTGACGACTTAGTACCAGGGGTTCTAAATCATAGGAAGCTTAGCAAAATTGTCGGGAGGGATTTAGGGAGTGAACTGAGCTCAGTTCGAGAACTTCGAAAATCCCCAACCAGATCTGGATTGGGAACATTCGAAATCGGGTCGGGTTAAAGCCCGCGTCCCAAATTGCGGACCGCGAGGGTCAAGTTTTTAAAACTTGACGAAGTTGTGTGTCCAAGCTTTTGAAAGTCACGCACCTGCAATTTGGGACTTTCGAAGACAGATTCACTCACCAGGGGGAAAACCGAGGGTTGGCTGGGTCTCGCGAAAAAAACGAACCTAGACGAAATTGCGAACTCTCGCCAAAGCCTACACCAGAAAAACTCCCTCTGGTCAACTTTTAAAAGCATGAACAATTTGGGCCGCCAGCTTTAAACAAAACCCAAAAGACGGGTTGGGACCAACTCGGGTCAAACCCGACCAAACCCGACCCGAAAGTTATAATCTTGGTACCTGACCCGACCTTGGGTCGGGTCAAAGCCCGACCCGGTTACCCTGTTTCTTACACGAAATTGGGTCGGGTCAAAGCTGGGACAAAAGCCGACCCGACCTGACCCGACCCGACCCGATTTCCATTATCAGGTCAGGTTTTAGGCTGGGCCGAGCGAACTCGACCCTCAACATACTCTACTGGTTTTAACGGCTTTTTTTTTGTCCAATTGGAGTCGATTAAAATTCGTCGAGTTTTTTTTTCGCTCAAGCCCAAGTTGAAACTCGACCATATGGTCGAGCTTTTTTGAACTCGTGAATTTCCCTGGTAAAACTCGAGGGAGTCGAGCAAAACTCGACTCGAAGCATCTTGTCTGCTACCCATAATAGTGTCGTGCCAGAGCAGCGCGGCGAATGCCAGATCCTCGCGGATCTGGCGGCGAGATCTCAACTACTACAAAACTAGATAAAGGTTCTTCTCTGATTTGGAAACACCAATCTGGAAATTTGAAATTCTGGACATTTGTACCCCTCCCCCCCCCTGGGGCCAATTGTCTCGCGAGTTTGGAAAAGCTCGCCTGTCTAGCCGACTTCTTCACGATTTTTTGTATAACTCGCGAGTAAAACTCGACTCGTCTACCCGAGTGTTTTTTACACAAATCAGAACTCGAAACTCGAGTTTTTCGAGTACCTAAAACGATTCAAGTGGAAACTCGACTTGTTTGCCCATGTATGATCGACCTAGCCAGGCCAGGCTCAAGAGAAACCTGACCCGACCAGGGCAAATTCCCAGGTCAGGTCGGGCATTTGCTCATGCCACGGGTATCGGGCTATGTTGGAAAAAACGCGTTTCGCGTTTAGTACGCTTTCCGTATAAACGCTAGAGTTTATACGCAGTACGCTAGCCGGAGGGGGTCTGGTACGCACAGAAAAACGCTTGCCCGGGCAGCTAAATTCTTTTCCCGGGCAGGTTAAGATGCTAGGTCAAGAGACGGGAACGGGAGCTGCTGTAGTAGGTTATCGTCGCAAGTGAAATTAGAAGGGGATCGAAGGGAAAAACGGCCTGACATTGAGCGGGGAGGATGAGTCTGGTTGAAGTTGGCAACAAAATTGGAAGGCATTGGTAATCGATGTGGTTGGATGGAATGGGTTGTTGAGCGGTTGATAGGAGGGGACGATTCACCAAACGGTTTCGAAATTCAGATCTGAGGTTGCATTTGCAATTCGCGATCTCAAATCTGAATTCCGATACTCGCGAACACAACTGATTTTTTTTTTCCCGGTCAGCCCGAGAGAAATTTGGCGAATTTTAGAAAAATACGCAGCGTACGAATTTTAGATGCGTATAAACTCAATACGAAACGTCAAACTTGCGTTTTTTCCAACTTAGGTATCGGGTCGACCCGATCCGCCCGGATATCCACTTTGAGAACTCTGGCCCGACCCGGGCAACCCGACCCGACTGGGCCTTTTGCTCATGCCTAGCTGGTTGTCACATGGCAGAGAGAGCTCACCTCGAGTGGTCTGGACTGGCTTGCGTGGAGGAGATAATTCTGTGAGAAGACAAAAGACAAAAATGGACAACCACAGCAGCACCAAGATGAAAGGTTCAGGGCATTCAACACAAAGAAGATGAGATTCAATGCATTCATCTAAACAGCTTTCAGCTCGTCATCTCCACTCTTCCCTAACCATGAGTCCATGACTGGTGAAATACTTTCTAAGCACATTGACATTGTGAAATCAAGTACCATGAAAAACAATCAGTTCCCATGCCACCATCACCACGACACCATTATCGCCATCACGTGTTCATCTCAAAATCATCACCAGCATCATCAAGTCGGTCACTGCCATCACCTCACCGTCACCCCACTCAGCAAATCACTTGCCTGTTCGCATGGCGGACTTGACAATGGAATGCATCTGAAAGGGCATCACAGTGGTGGACGCCACGAAGCCAAAGGAGAAAGCCGACTGCTGCGCACTAGGCTGCAGCACCGTGCACAGCAACAGCTCCCTCTGCAGCAGTGGCGTCTCTGGCTTCACCCTGGAATCTGCCAGAAACACTTCAATTGTCCCAGAATTCCAAGGGTCATAGTCCACCCATGCTGTGTAGAATTCACCATCGGTCAGAGTGAATGGTGACTCCACTTCGACCAACGAACTATCCGAGCCATTAATGTTGAGCCCTACATGCTGCTCCTTCAGATCATTTTGGTTGCCATTCTGAAGCGTGTTGAATTGAATGGCTACACTCCGCCTTCCCATTCCACTGTAGCCTACACCATCAGCTTTGCCCACCTTCCCCTTCGCGGCTATCACAAATGCAAAGCCGTTGGACCCGGCAGTACCATTCTGGGGAACGAGGCAGAATGTAAAGTTCACACTGAAAGCCAGCTCCACGCCACATCCCGTGGTCAGACGCTTTGGGTATGCGAAAAGGGTTACTGGCCTTGCCATAAACTTTCCGACTGTCTGTCGCTGCGTTCCCTTGGTGAGAATGGTGAATATGGGAAGAACAGGCATGCTGACAAAGAGGCGACGATCCCAACCTGATAGGTTTCAATGGATGACAGCAGGGCACAAGGAAGGATGGGGGTGGAAGAGCATGGGTTTCTGTCGAGATAGAAAAAGAAGGCTTCTTCAGGGTGGTAGCACAGTTCAGCAAGATACGCTCACGCCGATGAAGACAAAAAGGGTCCTTGTAACATAGGTTGCAGAAACCTTGCGCAACAGCTGAATTCTTACTAGGTGCCGACCTAGGTCTGCATACCTCGATGGTGCATCAGAACCTGGCAGTTACAGGACGTACAGGACGCACGGCACATAGGAAGTGTGATGTGGCACGGAAAAGAAGAATACAATAATGATTATCACTGTTTCAACAATTACCTTGTGCAAAACAATGGAACCGCCCAATCTGCACGTATCCCGGTTCACACAAGCACGTTGGCACCAAACTGGGCCCGTCTGGATAGCAGATGCCACGGCCATCACAAGCACTCGCGCCACCACAGAATGCGGTGCACTCAGCTGCAGTACGCTGCGTGGAGGAACAGTTGGGCTGCGTGCCGGGACATTTGGGCTGCGTGAAACAGTTGACGGCAAGACGGCTGTCAAGGGAGGCTGAACCTTTCAGAAGACCTGTCAAGTAGTTGTTTGAAAGGTCCATTTTGAACCATGGAAGAATCGAAATCGGGCCTGAAAGGTAGTTGTGAGAGGCATCACTGCACGTGAGAATTACAGGTAGGGGGAGGTGTAGGTGGTGGGGTGGGGTAGCAAACAAATACACGCAGGAAATATGGCTGAGGGCAAATGGGAAAACAATGTGTTGCTGTACGCAAGAAATAAATTGAGAAAGAAATTATTTTCATTAAAATCAAAAGGATGCAAGGAGGCGTCGTCGAAGGGGGAGTAGGAGGAGGAGGAGGAGGAGGAGGAGGAGGAGGAGGAGGAGGAGGAGGAGGAGGAGGAGGAGGAGGAGGAGGAGGAGGACGAGGGGGAGGAGGAGGAAGAAGACGAACAGGAGATCCATGCAGAGGCATTTGTAAGATTTCCAGTTGGCCAATACTGTAGGGCCCCAGAAAATCAGTTATGCTCAGTTATGTGCCTGAGGCTGAAACAACAAAAGCTTGCTAGTCGGCACTGAAGGCACGTTAACAATGTTGAACCCCCCCCCCTCTCCCCCCTTGCAAGTCTTGTGTGAGGTTCAAGTCGAGTCAAATGTTACTCTACCCGAGTCTTATTTTTCCTCATGCTAAACTCGAAACTTCACCATGATTAAGTCGAGTAAAACACGGCACCCTTTTCCTTAAGTTGGAATATACGCTAATCTGAAGTTGCATTTTGCGTTTATGCTCTTAGCGAGTTCGTACGCTGCGTACGTTTTGTAAATTCGCCAAACACACGTTCGGGTTGACAAAAAAAAAAAAAAAAATCGAAGCTCTCGACGTGCCGATCTCAAAACCAAGTCGCAGATGTCGCGAAATGAGCTCAAATTTTGAATTTGATACTCCAACCCCTCCCCTCCATCGTTTCACAACCCTTTGTTAATACAGAATCAATTTTCTGTATATCAATCAACCGGTTTATCTCCTGGGAGTGCACAAGTCATTTGAGGCGAGAAGTGCTGAGGCGGATCGTTTATTATCGAGTGTTCAAGGGGATTTAGCTTTGACCAATGGGAGGCGTCGGTTCGGTTCGTAGACTCGGTTTGACTCGATTGATCGATCAAGCAAAAGGCAGCACGAAATTCCCGTTCGCCCTGCAAGCTCGTTGGTGCTCAAAGCGACAAATTTCGACTGCGCTGATTGGTCAATGTTCGCACAGCGAGTTCGTCGTTCTGAACAGGTTCCGAACATGTTCAGAACAGGTTCCGAACATGTTCAGAACAGGTTCCGAACATGTTCAGAATAGTGTTCGAGCAAGTTCGAAACAGGCTTCGAACAAGCTGACGCGGCTGAAGCAGAGGGCAGCTACTCGCGCGCCGACATTTCGAGAGCTGCACTCTCGCCATCTGGAACACGTCAGCTCGAGAAAGTGCTCACGACTCGAGCGATCAAAGCACTCTGGCTAGATAACTAGCAGTAGGATCAGCCTAGAGAATATATAAATGTATGTCTTGAATATTAAAGATATATACTCTGCCTATCAAGCATTCTCCCACGCTACTATCAAGTCTATACTCTAATTATCAAGGATTCTCTGACTACGCCGCGACATAGGGCTTCCGCTGCTGCAGTTCTACGCCACTGAAATTCTCTTTCGACAAACTTGGACCCTTGGATAGAGGCTGACTTCGGTCAGGCACCCAAGGACCCTCGGAGGTGACCCCGAGAAGAGTTGTTTCAGCTATCGTGGTACTATCAGCAGTAGGAACTAGATGATCTGCTAGTAACACCCTTTTCACCCCACCATTCCACAGTCCCTTCCAACTGCTACGTTCCTCGTTGGGAGCCCAACCTAACTCAACTTCTAAAACATAAAGAGACGCAATTATTCTCTCAATATTCATTCTCTCGCTTCCTATTCTAGCTAGCTCACCCCCAAGCCACCATAGCTGCTTCTTCTACAGCAACAAGTTCTCGTTCTCCACCCTAAGAGTGGTGGATGTGGTGGTGGTGGCAAGGATGAAAAATACGGCTATCGTATTATACGGGGCGTTTTTTTCGATGGTATAATACGTTCAGTTTTCCAAAGTTTCGGTCGATTTTTTGTTGGCCTTTTTGGTGTCCGTTATTTTTTCCAGAATCTACTGAAATGGCTACAACAAAGACTAGGAGACCGATAACAACCTACTCTAAGGAGAAACAGGAATGCTAAGGTCCACTAATACTGCCGCTACCCTTACTATGCATGCATACCTAGGCAAGTACCAACCTTTAGCCTATATCTCCTCCTAAATCCATCCCCACCCCACTATACTCGCCCTGCTGCCTTCTATTCTTCCTACTCCACCACCTCGTCATCCTCTTCCTCCACCCTCCCCACTCTAACCGTCATACTCCTCGTCATCCTCTTCCTCCTCTTCCTCCTCCCCACTTGAACCGTCGCTGCAATCCCAGGCATATCGTCCCTTGGGATTCTGGGCAGGCTCTTCCTCCTCCCCACCGCTCTTCCGCCTCCTCTTCCTCCTCCGCATCCCCTGTTTTTCCTTTCCCCTTTCCCTTGCATGCACCGTTGCCCTTCCCCTTCTTCCCTTTAGATGACTTATCCGCCTTCCCTTTCCTCTTCTTGCCGATGCTCCCAAATTCCGACCAATCAATGGTGCATTCCTCCTCCACGGGTGCCTCCTCCTCCGCATCCCCTTCCTCCACCTCCACTTCGGCCGGGATGATGGCAGCCCCTTCCCTGAGGGTGCCGTTGCCCAGGTCCTAATAGAGCTTGGAACGCAGGGCTGCCTTTCAATCAAAGGCGTCACGGGCCCGCCGGGTGAAGGCGACGAAGGTAACGTCAGTCATATTCTTCGCCGTGAGGCGGTTCTGGTCGCGCCTCTGCACACGTGCCAGCGCCGACCAGTACCTCTCCACCTCGGAGGAGGTGACTGGCTGTGACAGTGACGTCATAGCCTGGTCTTGGAGCGCCTACACTTCCCCACCAAACAGGAACCACCATTGTGCCTCCGTCATGCGCCCCGCCTCCACCAAGGTAGTTGCTGCCCAACGGGCATCGTCAGAGCCCAACCTGCCCTCCCCTTGGTGAAACTGAGCCACCTGTGCAGCTAGCGTTGTGCGCTGCTGCACATCCCCGCCCCGGGCCTGGATTACCACATCCACCCCCTTCCTAATCTCCTTGTCATTCCTTACCTCCCCGATGTGCTGGTTACGGGGGTTGAGGAGCCAACCGATGGCGTGCAGGGGGTTGTGCAGTTGTGCGTCCCACCTCCTGGCAATGATCGCCTTGATGGTGGTGAGAAAGGTGCTCTTGTCCTTCGGCAATAGCAGACCCGTCCGCTTGATGAAGTGTGTGGCTGCTCACAGTGAATAACGAGCACTAATTAGATAGGAAGCATGATCGGGTGGGTGGAGTGGAGAGATTAACAATCAATACCAAAGCGGGATACTTTCAGCCGTCTCACTCACCAGCCGTCTCAGCGGCCGCATTAGTCTTCACCGTGGCTTCAAGCATGAGGCCTTACAGCTGCCCCATGACTTGAGCCCGTGTGTCGACGGCGCTAAGAACCTCGTAGATGGGAGTCATGAGGCGGTGCACGGCCGTCCCACGGTCCCAAAAAACATCGTCCAAGAGCAGCTTCCTAACCTCCATCCCCTCCTCCGTCCGTGCCACCGCCACATCCTCCCATTCCTCGCTGATTACCATCGCCCTCAACCCGCGCTTCACCTCCAGAAACCTGCCGAGCATGATGACCTGGGTGCCAAATCTCGTTGCACCAGGCCGCACCAACGAGAGCTTGGTAAAAAGCTCATGGACCAAGATGACGGCGGAGGCGGAGCCTTTGATCATCATTACTACCTGATGCACTTGGGAAAGGACGAGTTTAACAGCAGGGATCTTAGGACCTTAGCTTGTTGGCGGCGTTTTTGTTGTTCGAAGCGTTATCCATCACGACTTGGACAACATGCTTCGGCCCCACCGTGGTGATCGCTCCCTGAATAAGACCCGCCAAGTAGTCCCCAGTTTTTTTGGCAGTCTTCGAGTCGACGATGTCGACGATGACGGGTGCAGTGTCATTTTGCGCAATGACACACACCAAACCGCCGGATTTGATGCATGTCCATCCATCGACGGAGAGCGTGCACCCGCAGGTCTTCCAGCTCTCCTTCAGCGGCCGCAGCAGGTCCTCGGAGTCCGCCTTCAGCTTGTCTAACAGCAGGTCGGATACCTTGTACGGGGTTGGGAGGGTGTACGGTTTCGCGTACATGATCACCGCGTCAACAAAGGCCTGGATCGATTTCGTCTTGCTGACGTTCTCGGCAACTGCAGCAGCCCACAGGTAATCCAGGCGATTATTCGCAACTTGGTCCGTCATGTCACAGATATCTCGCTGGCGAGAGCGACGCACGGGCTGCGCCTCCACCGTGGACGTGGAGGCACGGTTTGATCCTCCCATAGAATTTCCTGTGGTCGAGCGCTCCTGATCGACTGTCGCGCGCAGCTGCTTAGCGTAGTCCGACTTGCACATCGCGGCGTTCTTGTTCCTCTTGTTAGTGCCGAACATGTGCTCGCCTATCTTAGTCGCACTAGCCGTCACGAGATTCTTGCAATGAATGCAGGTAGCATCGACTACGTTGCCTTCGTCATCCTTAATCTTCTTGACATGCTCCCAAAACTGAGAAGCGGGACGCGCCATGGCGACGAACTAGACTATGCTAAGAAAGCGTGGGTCAGAGACTGTTGATCTGAGATACTGCAGCCAGAGAGAGGATGAATGTGTCGAATGGGATTTTCCTCCTCCAATATGTACCTCTTACTCCTTTATTGTGCTGCTTTGTCGAGGGGTGTTTGAAGAATGAATGACGTGAGATGGGAGATGGATGGGCGATTACTATTGGCTGGAAATGTGTCGCGCGCAACTGTGCGAGGCGTCACGATTGCAGGTGAAAACTAAACCCAGCGCGCAAGTTGTGCTAACGACTCCGCGAAACAGGTAAGAAGGTTGAGTGGGTTCGCCAATGGTGTACATTTCCGCGCCTCAGAAATTTGTTGTCGTCGCCATTCGGCGAACTACTCAAACGACTCAGCGAAACGGGCAAGCGATTTTATACCGTTCGTTAGATGTCAAAATGTCGCGCCATGACATTTATCCTAACATGCGCGACTCGGCCCAAATTCGAGCGAGACTGACAAGACTTCTCATGAAATCCCCCATATTGAACTCGACGGGGCTGATTGTACAAATTCGGTGTACACTTTCTCTGTTTTAAAATTTCGGCCGAAAAAAACGACCGTATTTTTAATCGAAATTTAAAATTAACATTTAACCGTACTAAACCGTTTTAAACGACCGTATCATACGATACCGTACAATACGGTAAAAAATCAATATTTCGGTCGTATTTTTTATCCTTGGGTGGTGGTGATGTTGAAGTAGTAGAGTAGTAGATCTCTGGCTTTTTTTTCTGTAACTTTCATATTAATTAAAAAAAAAAAAAAAAATTGGATGGCACCCCCCCATCCCCACCTCTTACCCCAAAAATCTGAGCTTTCGTGTGTTCATGAATGTTTGCGTGCTGTTCGTGCAAGCTTCATGAGCATTCATGTGTTTTCGTGTTTGTTCATGTTCGTTCATGACTGTTAATGTCTTGTTCATGTTTCTGTCATGAGTTTTCGCATGTCTTTTATGAGTGCTCACGGTGAATGGCGAGTGTTTTTGCTGGGAGATATTTTCGCGTCGGTCAAGGTTGAAAAGGGCGCGAGAATCTGGACAGTGCGTGTGGCCCAGATCTCGCGTGTGGCCCCGCATGGGCCGCGCGTGTGCTTCGCCACTGTTGCGAGCGTGGCAGGGACCACGATCGCAACAAGACAAGGCGATAATGATCGCCCTGCCCACGTCAGGACGGCACGCCCTCAGGGGTGCGCGTGGGTTGCGAGGGGTGCCGAGAGATCCCGAGGGGTGCTCAGGATTCACTCGAGATTTCAGTTGTAAAACTGAATCTCGAGCGCGTCTTTTTGTGACATGGCGAAATAGAGAAATTCGTCATTTAAGTCGCGCGTGTAACGTGACCGTTTCTTACAGGTACAAAACGGTGACAATCGTTTTACAACTGTAAAGCTTGGAGAAACGGAATTCTCACACGAGCGTTCATGATTCTACGCGGGAGTTCATGATTGCTCGCGAGAGGAGTCAGCAGGAGCATTTGGCAGACATGGAGATTGAAGGCAGTTATTTGAAGGACTCGGATGAAGCCAAATTCAAGAGGAGTTAGACAACCGTTTTCCAAGACAACATGGCGAAGTCCGAATTACAGTTTTGTAACTGCTTGATGTTTGCCTTTGCTAGTGAGTATTGATTTCTTTACATGCGTGCTTGTGCTTGGTTGTAATCAACACTTTGTGAATGAAAATTGCTCTATCAACGTATTGACGTGAAGAGCTAATTCTGCAAACGAGCCAATTCGTCGTCAACGCTGCGCAAACGAGCTTGGGAACGTTCTAGTGCACGTGATTGGATTTACAAGTAGTACGTCCCTCGACAAACACGGACCATTGGTTAGGGGCTGGCTTTGCCAGGCACCCGAGGACCCTTGGAGGTGACCCCGTGGGGACTAACTAGTGTGTATTTAAGGCGTGCTTAGAGCTTCTAGATCCCATATGTGTCAACACATCCCTATATGATATAGTACGAAAAAAAAGCAGGGGCCTCACAGATATTGCAGTCTGAGAAAGCGAGAGCCAATGATAGAAGGAATGGAACCACTGAACTGATTGTTGTTGATAGTCCTGAGGTGAATGCGCATAGGAAGCCTGAGAATTCAGTATAATGAAATCACAAGGATATTGATAGGCAAGAGCAGGGAACTGATTGAACCAGTTCAGTTATTTACCTAAAAACCCGAACCGGTTCGCTACTAAACCGAACCGATTCGTGGTTCGTGATATAAGGCAATGAACCGAACCAGTTCCGCCACACCGGGTCGATTCCGTACCGAACCGAAGTTCGGTTAGCCAGGGCCCTTGACCTTAGTTACCACCACTAGATGAAACCTAAAAGTGAACTGTGGGAAACACCTCAATGTCAGGTGAACGCAAGGTGCAAAAATTGTTGGGTGCAACGACAACCTACCACCTATTCGTCGGCGTTGAGTAAATGTGAGGTGTTTTGTTTGAAGGTAATTTGTTGTGTGTAAGTTGCGCATTTCTGTGCTTACGTTTGGGTGTTTACGGTTTGTGAACCGCATCGACAGTTCATGAGTTGTGAGGGCGCTTCCCTAGGTGGTGGCAGGGCAACTGTAGCTGGCACCGTTGATGGCATGCGGGTTTCCCGCAAGCCATCAACTTTTAGCCCGAGTCGCGCGCGATTCGCAGTTGGTGGCAATCAAAACACATTTGGCGACAAACGCACCCGAAATGAACCCACCAATCACAGCAAAGCCACGAAACCTCTGTCGTCGCGTAGGCGGTTACACCCCCACTTGATTTGAGGAACCAACACCAACCGACTGGGTCATGTTACCCGGTCCACAATTTCACATTTCCACGCAACCAATCACTCGCGAGGCACATGTGGTAGAATCTTATGACACCAACCCCGCAATAAACAGATTCGTGGCATGCGCATTTCCTACCTGCCATCTACAGTGGCCCTACCACCACCCAAGGATACCCCCTGGGCGTTTTCATGAAGGGTTGCATTTGTGAGTGTTCATGAGTTCCCGTAAGTGAAGGCGAGTGTTCATGTCATTTCGTGTGCGTTCATGTTATTTCATGTGTTGTGGGAGTCACGAGTGTTCGTGAAAGTGTCGTGAATGTTGATGAGTTTGTTCGTGAAGCGTTCGTGTGATTTCGTGTGGGTTCGTGGTTTTCAGGTGAAGTTTGAGAGTTGCGTTTTCAGTTGTTTTAAAGAGTTCGTAGGGATGAGCAAGTGGCGAACACGAACGTGTTCGTTTTCGCCCCTACACGAACACCTTCGTTTGCCGAACCGAACACTGTTCGGTTCGGCGAACACTTTGAGCAAAAAATGGTGTTCGCCGTTCGCCTGTGAAGGCGTGTTCGGGCGAACCTCGAACGCTGTTCGTGTTCGTCGCGGGCAAATTGCAGCAGCGGTCCGAACACGAACGTGTTCGGGCGAACATCGAACACTGTTCGGCGAACATTTCAAGCCAAAAAAAAATACCTGTTCGGTTCGCCTCGAACGTGTTCGAGGCGAACCGAACAGGTGTTCGTTTTTTTGCTCAACCCTAAGAGTTCGTTTCTGATTTCGTTTTTTCTTAATGATGCTAAAGGGATCCCGCCCTAGCGAGGTGGTCAAGGCTCGAGGCCATGAGCCCGAGCCCTGTTGCGCTTACGGCGCAATCATGTGGGTAGCGCCTAAAAGGCCGAAGGGTGCCAGTCGAGGCACATGCACGGCCTGAGGCCACGATTCAATTCTGCTGCCATGCGCGAGTGTGGCAGTGAGGTGGTGCGTGGGAAAGGACAAGGGCACGTGGGTCCACAATTGAATTGTGGGACCCTCCAACTGTTTGTCCTCATTAGCCGAGAGGAATTTCGCTACAGGGTGTTTCGTGTAGCGCGCGATTTACATTCGAAGCTCGTGCGAATTGTGCGAGAGTGATTTCGGTGACTTCGAAATTTCGTCGCGTAACTGCGCGATTTCTTTAGGTGATTTCATGAGCTGTCACGAGCTGTCACCACGAAGCGCCAAGGGCCTTCACGATCTTCAAACAATTATGGCCCACATAAACGTTCGTGGACGAGTATGTTCCCACTGATTGCGCATGGAGAAAGTTGGCATTTTGGAGTATGATTCTAGCTATCATTTCGGTGGGCTGTTTGCTTTCGTTTTTTGTGGGTTAGTATATATCTTTTCTTGTGCTTGTTTGTGATCAACCTTTTTCATGAATGAAACTTTCTCTATCGACATATTGACGCGAGGAGAATTATCTGCATACGAGCCAATCAGTCATCTAACGCTGCGGAACGGATCTTGGGGGTACTCTAGTGCACACGATCGTTTTAACACTTGGGGAATCCCTCTACAAACACGGACCCTTGGTTAGGGGCTGGTTTTACCAGGCATCCGAGGACCCTTGGAGGTGACCCCACGGGGATAAGCTAGTGTTAACTAAAGGTGTGCTTAGAGGTTTCTAGTCCCAATAGTAGTCAACAAAAAAAGGGTTTGTGTAGAATACGGTTCTTCTTGTACGCTTGTATTTTACGGCCAGATTTCCAAATTTCTGCCCGTTTTTAGTTAGATATTGTTGTGACTGAACTGTAGGAAACGATTGCACCCCTGACCAGGATAGCAAACAAGCAACGCAATGCTAACAAAGTGTCTAGCGTGTGCCCATTTAACCCTCCTCCTCCTCCTCCCCCTCACACTCTTCATCCTCTCCTCCCGTAGTCACCGTTCTACAGTCCCACGGATAAATCCCCTCGGTCATCCTCATGGCTGGTTCATCCGATCGAGGGTGATGGTTGAAAACAATACTTGAAAATATGTGTTAGCCCATTGGTTTTAAAAAACAAATTGAACCACATTGTACAAAATTTTGGCGTTCTAAACAATTTTAAACGGCCAAAAAAAAAGGATAGTGTATTATACACCAGAATCTCAAGATGTGTGCCGTGTTTTGCACCTTGAGTGAACAGTGGGGCGTAGTAGCCTGTGAGCTCCTGCTCTCTGGTTCTTAGGACGCGTCACCTCAATGCCAATCGCAGGATCGATCCTACATAGGATCGAACTTTTGCGTGGTTTAGCAGCTAGAAATTTCGACTGCGATGCGCGTAGTTTTAATGCGGTGGAAGATCGATTTTCGACGATCGTTCGCAGGATCGGCGTTCAGGTGACGCGTCCTTAGCCCTATATTCGAACCGGTTCGATTTGGTGCGGTGCGGTGCGGCTAGTTGTTGCTAACAAATCGGCCAAACCGACAAACCAATTTGGTTACCAAACAGCACCGAACCAAACCGCGGTTTCATGTTTTGTCATGCCTAGACATCGACGCAGCATCACAATTTTATTTCATATCCAGGATCAATAAATTAGGTGCGGGATATTGACTTCACTACATGACCTGGGTACACAATGTGGATGCTCACATTGTTTTCTAACAAATAAGAGATGCAAGTGAGAGGAGGAACAGGGAAAGGGCCTTACAGGGTCTCCATTCTAGTAGAGAGGGTTGAAACGAAAGAAAGTTTTCCAGTGAACTTGTTGCTGGCTAAGCCTCTGCCGTTACGAAAAGAACAGAGCAAGAGAAACTATCCGCAGGTGAAGAGAAGGAAAGGAGGACGCGGTGGGGTGGTGAGAACCAGGAACTGGGAAAACTGTGAGGAAAGAAGAAGGGAAAAGGAAAGAGAGAAGCAAACAATAGAGAAGTGAACAGAAGAAAGGATCCCAACAAACGGAGATAAAACAATAAATCCGACAACCAGGGATGAAACACATCATTAACAGGACAGGAGAATGGAGCAAATCAGGTCTTTCTTTGTAAATGGGATGATGCTGTTATATGATAACATCAGCACACTCTTCACTCCACATGCACAAAAAACAGCCCTTTCTGGTGGAATGTAAAAGATGTCTCTCGACCATCGAATGCAAAAGCAGGACAAGAGACAAGCCGTACAATGCTCTCAATGCTGTTAAAGGGCTCAAAGTAGCTGGAGGAATGGGACCGTCAAGCTGATTTCCTCCCAGATACCTGCGTTTGTGAAAAGATGGAGACACATCGAGCGAGGCATGAGAAGTAGAGTGGTAGAGCGTGCAAGACATTGATGAGGGATCAGTAAACAAAGCTGGCAGATTGGAGGTACGATAGACGAGAGGTTTTGAAAAGGGAAAACAGAACTCAAAAGACACGGTGCAAAGATGATCACTACTGCTAGAACCAGCAAATGATTCTGCCTATTTGAACAGGGATTGCCCCCTTCGTGTCCATTTTCGCGATGGTTGTTGGCTGATTTACATTCAAGACTGGAGCAGCGGGAAAATCTAATGCACAAGCCCACCAGAATCCGTGCCCAACTTGAACTCCAACCTTTGGCGCTAGGCAAGCAGGGAACCAGTATGCACACCCTTAGTCTCCGCCGAACAGGGTAGCAAAAGTCTTGCTGGACACAGTTTATCGTATGTGATTGCCCAACACTGCAAAGTTCCTTCCTTGATTGAATCAGCAGCTTAGTCCTTTTGTTTCTTACAATCCATTTCGAGTGCACACTACTAGAATGACGGGGGGGAATTACACAAGGGCATTACAAGGAAGAGGCATCACTGCTGAGTAGGCATGAGAAAAGGAGCCGGGGGGCTCGATTCATGCCGGCACTGTCAAAATTTGGGCTCGTCAAGATTGAGCCAAGATAGCATGTCGAGCCGGTCGCCGCCTCATTGGCTTGGCAATGTGTATCCCTCGAGCCTCAGACCGGATTGTTGACCCAGCCCCCTTATCAGATCTACTTCACAAAACTTCTGCACATAACTTTTGCAACACTAAAATAGGCGGACAGATCTCATTATTCTAAGTGCAGCCAGGAGTTTTACGACTGCGAGTTAACATTCATCACCCTCAATTCCTCCTATCCAGGGTTAGAAAAGAACTGCCTTTTTTTTAAGACAGTAATATGAAACAAAATCATACCGTTCCAGGTGTTGTTTCCTGCTTGATTAGGAAAAACAGCCGCTTTATATGGTCATTTCATTTATTTACCAGGGGGGGCACCAACCGTGGGACCAAAGTGATGGTGAAGTGAGGAGGAAAAGGAGGTAGTCGGGCAGTGGTTAGCCCTTTTTTGCATGTTCCCCTTACAAAGGTCGAAGCGGAGAGGATATTAAAAGATGCAGAACGCAGGTATCTTACAGCGATTGTAGTTTTTTCAACTTGCCGATGCAAGATGGAATCGAACCAGTTAACTGACTTGTATCACACTTTCTGTAATAACGGACACAAGTCATCCATGCAATAAAAAACAGCAGGAAACGGCTGATGTCTTTGCAATGTGTGCACAGAAGACAATCGCAGGCGATAGACAGGCAGGGGTAGGAGACGTGAGTGAGGAGGAGGGAGGCAAGCGCTCCTCCTTTCTCCAATGTGTCATCCACACATAGAATGGGAGGGATCGGGAAAGATCGGTAGGAGGATCAATGCTAATGCATATATGAAAGAGTGAAAGTGGAATGTGTATGGCCAGGAATTACAAGAAACCAAGCGTTGGAATAAGTAAAATTTGACATGCAACTTGTGTTTGCACTTGTGCTACTGGCCTCTCCTTGATACAAATGTACAGCCTGTGCCCTTGGTTGCTAGGCACAGCAGGGAAAGGAATGACCTGACCTGATTCTCGTAGGCACTGAATTGGGCGGACAAGAAATACTTGGTTCTAGCCTAAGGTCGCAAGGAGCTAAGCTTAGCATGAATGGGTGGTGGTAAGTGGACGGGAGAGGAGAAGAAACTACGATGAGGGGTCAACTGGGGGCCATGAAGGGAGAAACATAAAACAAGAATTTAAAACATTCGGCAACATTTTGCAACCCAACCTTTGCAGTTATTACGAAAGCTCAAACTTGAACATGTTAGTGTGTATGAATTCTTATCAAAAATCCGTTCGAGTAGAACTGAACAAATTCGGTTCAGCTCGGAAGTTATTTTATATTGATGTTTGACTTTGACTCGAACACTTACTCAAACGCTCTATTCTTACATTAAAGTTTAGCATGTTTCCTGTGGTTGATTGGGAGATTCACCGTTAATTCAGCTTAGAAGTTAGTTTGGACATTCAAGTGAACGAGTGTAATGAATGAGTGGTACAGTTCGATCCTCCATAAACGAACCCAAAACCGGCCATCGAAGGAACCATTTTGTGGAATGGGAAGAGTCCCTGAACAATCAGAGGATGACGATGGAATTACCTCTCTTAATACGTATTGTCGCTGCCCATTATATCTGGTAACAGAAAAATCGTCATAAGGTTCAGTGAAACACCATCATAGAAAACAGCAGTTGGTCATTTCTTTCCGCCTTGGTGCGAACGTGCGGTAACAGGGAACATGGCAAAGCAGGGGGCTTACAGAAATATCATATTTGTGAGGACGCAGAGTGCACCAGGGATTGGGCCATTGAGCTGGTTTGGACCAAAATCTCTGTTGAGATGCCCACAAAACACACCGTGCTAGACAACGGTTGAATTTAGTTGAGCACGCAAATGAAGAGCACCCTGTAACGCATGCATATGTGAAATACCATACTCGTCACCGAAAAACTTGTAGATCGAGGTCAGGTTGACCTCGCAAATGTCTATACCTAGTTAGTCTCCTTTACCTAGATTTCATCGCACGAGTTCTATTCTCCGCCCAAAAGCACAGAATATAAAGCACACAGTTTGAAAAACATAGTAACGTTGCCCTGTTCAGTTATAGTCAGGCATGAGCAGAATTGCAAACCCCTGTTCGGTTGTCAGAAACGCATTAGTGACGAACCGAACGGGGTTTTCTTTTCCCCCCAAAATCGTTCGTCACAAACGCCCGCAGTTCGTCACAAACGCGTTCGTGATGTTCGTCGCGTTCATAGGACATAGGGCAAACGCAAACGCATTCGCCTTTGAAACTGGTTTGCCGCAAACCCTACGGTAAGGTGCAGGAAAACAATCGTAATTTTGAAGATTTGGCGTTTGAAAAGGTATAGTATTTTTCAGTCGGTGAAAACGGTATAATACGAAAAAAATTGCAATTTTATGTTCATGCAAAAAATCGGTATTTTTTTACAACCGAAAATTTGAAACCAGTAGTATACAACACTTCTAAAAAAAAATAACATGAGTCCAGAATCGAGTATTTGTTGGTTGGAGATTTCCGACATGCGGCTCAGAACCTTTACCCAAGTTGTACATTCAGCCCTATGATGAAGACGAGGAGGTTGTTGGGTGCAAATCTTAATTAAGCACGTCAACCAGCCGTCTGCATGAAGTCCCGCATTTTGTGTGTGCTCTGTGCGCATTTGTTTTTGCATTCTGTTTCATGTGTTTTTGTTGGGGGGCACATGACAAGTCATGACGGATCATGACGAGTCATGATCTCATGACGACTCATGTTCGTTCGCTAATTTTCATGAACAACCGTGAGCGTTCATGATAGTTACGAGCGTCATGAAAGCTCATGAGAGCTCACGAACTTTCATGAGCGCTCGTGGCGAGTGTCGAGTGTGTCTGAGGGGGTGCTGGGCTCGAGTCTTTGACTCGGACCTTTGACCAATATCGCGCTGGTCAAAAAGTGCGTGAAAGTTAGGACCCGCGCGTGGGGTCGTGGCGTGGGGTCGAGTGTGTCGCAACTGTTGTGACCGTGCACAATTGCACGATCGCAACAAGACAGGGCAATTTATTGCCCTGCCCCACGTGGGACAAAGCACGATCGCGTCAGCGATCGGCTTTTCTCGCTTGACCGGGGGTGCCTTGGGATTTTGGTTGACCAATGGTATCCCATGCTGACTTGGAACACAGGTAATTTCGCGAGAAAGTCACGCTGCCTAGCATGATCATTTCGACGCACGTACAAAACGGTAAATACCGTTTTACCAACAGTAAAATCCGTTTTATAACTAGAAAACGGTTTCCCACACGAGTATCCATGATTACTCATGAGAACTCGCGGATGTTCACGACGTGAGTCAGCAGGAAAGTTTGGCTTCAATTCAACAGTTAATTATAATGAGTAGGCATGATCATTAGGCCCGACCCGACCCGACCCGACCCGACTTGGGCGGGCCAGCCGGGTTCCGGGTCGGGTCGGGTCGGGTCGGAACTTCAAAAAATCCTGGCCCGACCCGGGTATCGGGTGCCGGGTCAGGCGTGACCCGCCCCCGGGTCGGGTCGGGTAGGGGCCGGGTCGGGTCGGGTCGGGCCAGGACCCCATATGCAGGGTAAGAGGTTCTCCTTACTACTGTGCGGTGTTGCACTGATTGAATATTTGTGTAATATTATTATATGAACGTCCTCCATTTTGTAACTAGACTATGGGGGGTCGTGTCACTATCGATGCGGGCCTGGTCGGCGCGCAGGGGGCGATTAGAACGCGGGACTAGAGTTTAGTCGCTTGTGAGAGCTCAGAATAACTATTTCTATAGAATCGAATATCTCTACCTGGTCGCGCTAGGTTAAAAAGACCCTTACGCCAACATGGAAACACTAGTAATAGTGTTCCTTAACATGGGCGCGGGTTTAGAGAGTAGTAGAGCTTGAGAACGATTGCTTGCTTGCTGCCTAGGTATTGCAGATCGAAGTCAATGTCGAGGGAACAAACAAACCCTAGACATTGACTTCGCGATCTGCTTTAGTGCAAATTGTCGAGGGAGGAAAAGTCGGGTCGGGCCAAATACTCGACCCGACTTAGGGCGCGGTACCCGAAACCGGGTCGGGTACGACTTCGGGTCAAAATCTGACCCGACCCGACCCGACCCGACCCGACCCGGTTTCGGGTGTCGGGTCGACCCGACCCGACCGGGTAAACCCGACCCGACCGGGTAAACCCGACCCGACCGGGTAAACCTGACCCGACCCGGCCGGGCCAGCGCTTCAAAATGCCTGACCCGACCCGCCGGGGCAGGATGATCATGCCTAATAATGAGGCAGATTGAGCCAAATTCTTCAGCAGTTTCACAACCGTTTTCTAATACAGCAAAGCGAAGACCTGGATTTCAGTTAAGCAACTACATTATGTTTTCCTTTTGTGTGTTTAGGACTTGGTATAAATGTGTGCTTGTACTTGTTCATTTTCAATCGATGCAATTATGCCTCTCAAAGCATGGAATCCTACTACTACGTATTGACGAGAGTAGAAACGTAACGTGGTGCTGCCGAAACGCTGCTCGACCAGATTACACACTCCACAAATCGAGTAAGGCATAACTACTCACTTTATTTATTCTTATGCCCTTGGCTATGAGGTGACGTGCTGTCACACGTGGAGGGTCTAAAGTGAAGTTAAGTGTTGCCAAGTTTGAGTTCGTGGTTCAGTGTCAATCGCTTCCGCATAGTACTTAGAGTCAACACGTGGTATCAGAGCTGGTACTTAGCCATTCTCAGCGCATCCATCAATGGGGTCACCTGGAAAAGAAGGGAATTCAGCCCTCGCGAGTAGTGATAGCCAAGAATAAGGTATCTCCGCGCCTAGGATAGCCCGGACGAGCCAGGGCCCACTGCTAAGGGAAGTGTTGAAGAACTTCTCAGTCGACAAATTTAGTGGAGAGGGCTATGACGACTGGTCTTGGAAGATGCAACTGTATTTTCGACAGATTGGTCGTCTAAAGTTCATGATAGGCAGCAAGAAACGACCTAGTGCCCCGGAGCTTCAAAACGAGTGGGACGAGCACTGATCCGCCGGGTATCATATATTATTTCAAAGCCTAGATCTCGCTCAACATCAGCATATCATGCACCTCCTCCCGGAGGAAGAGTGTGGCCATAAGGCATTGGCCGTGCTCAAGGATCTCCATGCCCCCACATCAGTTGTAGCTACTCTCATGTTGGAGAGAGAGCTCTCCACCTTACGCCTCAGTGAAAGAGAGTCTGTTCAGTCCGTCCTAGACAAGCTGAGAGATCTCTACGCCAAGCTTGCTATTGCCGAAATCGTCTACCCCGAACAAACCAAGTGTGTCAAGATGTTGTCACTGCTGCCGGAGTCATGGATGAACTTCACAAGCGGCCTCAGCGTTCTCCAAAATCAGAGCCAATGGACGCTGAAGTGGATTCGCACCAAGGTCCTTGAGGAGGACTTCCGGAGGTGTCAATTAAGGGGAGGTGATGAGGGGAGTAGCAGCTACGCCATGCAAGGAGGAAAAGGGGGTAAAGGCAATAAATAGCAAGGGGCGGGAAGGGGGGCTACTAAGAATTAGGAGCCCACAAGTCAGCAAGGAGCTATGTTGGAAAAGTCGCCAGAAACCATAAACGTACTCCGTATAGTCGTTTACGAATATACGGTGTACGCAAGTCGTACGTATATTCGTTGGCGAAAGTTCAGGCTAACCCGAAAAAAAAACAGATTTCAATAGTCGCGCACGAATTGCGAATGTGCGACGCGACTCAAAATGTACGCACGTCCCACCCCAATTTGTACGCACGTCCCAACCACATCGTCACCCACACCTGTCAAAATGTGGGGACGTGGGAAAATTTGAACCGCACTGCACCCTATGCTATCGCGCGACTCCAACACACAAACACGAATGTCGTCAACCAGCGTAGGTGGTTCAACCACATCCTGGACTATAAGGTAAGCTCTCATTCCCGTCATCTATATTATCTCTCTCCTCGTTCATTCTCTCTCAACACTCCCGCTCACCTGCACTTGATGTCGACTCCTTCTGGTACTCCCGCAAGTGCCGCCGACAGCATCAGCCGCCACCGCCGCTGCCGTGACAGCCGCCACCGCCACTGCCGGGCAGTAGTGAACGCACGGAGGTGACCAACATCGTCCAAAAGCGCTGGGACCATAGCATGGCGTGTGCCATGTACGTGGTTGGCCGGATCCTCAACCCGGTCAACCAAGAGGAAGGCATCTTCCGCACCGTCCTGGAGTGTACTCGCGTCTTCAAAGCGTTTGTCGCTCGTCACTACGCAGGGCGGACCGTCACGCGCAAGGAGAGCGAGGAGCTGCGCGCATCCCACGTCATCCAGGACGGCCTGACGGCATTCAACACCCTTCAGGGGAGCTTCGGCCTACCCGACGCCATCTCTGACCGTGAGCTCGTGAAGGCCGGTAAGAAGACGGCCGTCCAGTGGTGGACGTGGCACGGGACGGAGCACCCCGAGCTGACAACGCTCGCTTGCCGCGTTCTCTCTCAGCCAGTGTCCGCATCGGCGTGTGAGAGGAACTGGGCAGTGTGGGAATCGATCCACACTACCAAGCGCAACAGGTTGGGGTCCGAGAAGTGTCGGGACCTCGTGTATGTTGCGCACAATTGGAACATTGTGCGCAACTGGCACAAGGGGGCTGAGTGGGTGACGGTTCTCCCGGGGAACATCCCTGAGGCCTCCCTGCCGGAAGGGTACAACGAGGTTCTGGAGGAGGATGAGGAAGAAGGGGGAGGAGGATGAGCTGGAGGATGAGTACAAGTAGAGGAGGAAGGGACGGGGGGAGTAGAGGGTGGGAGTAGGGGGTGGGGTAGGAGAGATGCATGTTGCTTGCTTAGAGTAGTTGAGAATGGTGGGTTTTTTCAATATATGAAATTCGGTAAAACCACCACTCCCCTCCCCCCTCCTTCGGCGGTTTTTTTCGTTTGCCCGGTAAAAACCTTTTGCTGCCCGGGCAGCGTACTTTCTGCGACTTTCAAAGTCACTCACGAAGCGCATAACACACAATACGCAAGCGTATATACGCTTGCGTATAATGCGCTGGGCGCGACTTTTCCAACATAGGCAAGGAGGCAAGGGAACGGGTCGTGGTGGAGGCCGTGGTGGTAAAGGGGGAGGAAAAGGACCTGGGAAAATGGAGGGCAAGTGCTAGTATTGTGAGAAGGTGGGTCATCCTTGGTTTAAATGTCGTTCTAAACTTTCATGGTGGACCCCCTCCAACAGGACTAGAGATGGGAGCGGCGCCGGAACGGTAGCCGATGAAGAACCGGCTGAAAATGAGCAACGTGAAGCCGGTCAGTTCTTCCACGTTGGGGAGCCAGAAGAGGAAGCGGTGATCGCCCATGCTGGAGCTTCACTGCACCCGCTCAATACGTGGATATTGGACACGGGAGCGGCATGGACCATGACTCCAAGGGCCGATCTCCTTGACAAGGTGGAGACCGCACCGATTGCTGAGGTGAAGTCGGCATCCGGGCACGCTCTCAAGGTGACGGGGGCGGGACGTGCTGCATTCAAGGGTGCCGACGGCAAGCCGGTGGTGCTGAGCGATGTGCTACTCGTCCCTAACCTCAAGGCGAATCTAATCTCCCTCAGAAAGTTGGGCAAATATGGGGTCAGCACTTCCGCCGGTGGTGCCAAGACGTTCACGGGGCAGCTGGGAAAGCGGGTGTTGTGGGACCTTCACGAGAACCGCGACATTTGCAAGTCAATGTGGCAGGTGCCGGTAGTGTTATGGGGCAAGGAGGGTGGATCTAAGGGGGAGTGCAATGCTGTAGCTGTAGAGGAGCTGAAGGTTTCAGCAAGGGGTGGCGAAACGGATTGGATGACTGCTCACCGTTGCCTCGGGCACATATCTATGCCCGCACTGCAGCAACTGCAAAAGGGTGAAGGGGTTAAGGGGCTGAAGCTGATTGGAGCAGCGGTCTCCCACAAGTGTGAAACTTGTTTGCTAAGCAAGTTCACACGCTTCCTCTTCCATGCAACTGAGGGTGGCGGCAAGAAGCTCTTAAAGCTCGTGCACATGGATGTGGTGGGGCCGCTACCGGTGATAGGGGAATGGGGTGATAAGTATTTTCTCACAATTGTTGATGATTGGAGCCGAGTGACCTGGGCTTATCCAATCAAGAAGAATGACCATGTGCCATCCATCATCCGTGACAATTGGCAGCCGTTGGTGGAGAAGCAGTCCGGGCACAATGTGATGCGAATCAGGACTGATTGGGGTGGGGAGTCCCTTGGAGAGGAGTTGACTTCGTGGTTGAAGAAGCAGGGCATCATTCGTGAACTCACCACCTCATACACACCGCAATCCAGCGGCGTAGCAGAACGGGCCAACCGCACAGTGTTGGAAACGGCACGCGCTCTCCTCATCGAGTCGGGGTTGGGGAGCTCCAAGTGGCCACATGCTGTGCGCCACGCCACGGTGGTGAAGAACTCGGTATTCACTAATGTTGGTGGTGAGTCGTGGGTCCCCATGGAGAGGTGGCTTGGGAGGAAGCCGCCCATTGATATGCTGCGTGTGTTTGGTTGCATGGCAATGGCTCACATCCTCAACGCACACCGTAGTAAACTGGGTGCAACGGCCGTTTGGTGTGTGAACTTGGGGTTGGCAGCGGAAAGCAAAGGGTGGCTGCTGTGGGAGCCGAGCAAAGAAGTTGTGTTTGACAATAGGGATGTCAAATTCATGGAGGATATCACCTACGGGAGCTAGTCCAAGCAGCCAAATAAAAAACTCATGCAGCAGCTGGAGCAAACAACGATGGGGTTTGATGCGAAGGAGTGGGAAGGAGAGGAAGGCGCAATGGCACATGAAGAGGAGGGTGCAGCAGAGCTTCCCGTGGTCAAGGGCGTGGAACCAACGGTTGCACCTGAAAAACCTCACCTTATAGCACGTGTGATTCCCCCCACTCTTCCTCCAAAAAGGACCCAAACCGAATCCCCTCCCACAGGTCGTGCTCTTTCACCCATGATTGCAAATCAGATGCGAGCAGCCGCATTGAAGCTGACGGATTACGGAGGAGCAAGGTGAGAGCACCAGCAACACGACGCATTGCTGGTGCTTCAAAGTAGCTGTGACTCCGATGAGGAAGAGGAGGAGGAAGTCTACTGTTTTATGGCACCAGCACCAATTCAACCACTCACCATGGAAGAAGCGTTTAAGGGACCGGATAGGGACAAGTGGTTGGCGTCAAGGGATGCGGAATACAACAGCCAAATGGAGAACGGAACTTGGGTGTTAGTGCCGCTACCAATGGGGAAGAAAGCGATTCAATGTGGCTGGATCCCTAGGATCAAAACCGACAACAAAGGAGCTGTGTCGGTTTACAAAAGCAGATTGGTTGCAAGGGGGTATCAGCAAAAGGAGAGGGAGGACTACAAGGAGACATTTGTTGCAACTGCGAAGCCGCCAACACTCCGTGGTCTCCTCGGTGGTACAGCCATGTGTGGGTGGGTTATTGTTCAAATGGACATCACCACAGCATTTCTATACGAGTTTGTAGACGAGGAGGTCTACATGACGCAGCCGCAGAGTTATGAAGACATGTGTGTCAGAACTTGAGCTTAGAATCGATACTATAGTAGTGAGCTCAAAGCTCTTTAAGTACATCCGGAATGAGCAAGGTAGGGATGAGGAGGGAATCAGGAGGCAATCCTAGGGAATCAAGGGTAATCCCAAGGCAATCTCCAATTGGTGGGTTGGAGATTGCTTGGAGATTACATTTGGGTTTGGTTGGGATGTGGGTGTACACCCAACCAAACACAAAGTGCAAACTACACTAAACTAGGATATAAAAGTACAAGTACAAAATGTGAGATTGGGGCCTAACACCAACACCCCCCCTGAGGCGTCAATCGAACTCATGGCGGAGAAGGAGGAGCGCAGAGCCCCATGGCGCCAAGGAGACGATGGTGGGGAACCTTCCCAAGGGGCTTGGTGAACAGGTCAGCCAGGTTGCAGTCAGATGCCACGTATTCCACCTTCAGCTGCTCTTGTTGCACAAGGTGACGAATGAAGAAGTGCCGAAGTTCAATATGCTTGGTGCGGGTGTGATACACAGGGTCTTGAGAGATGTGGATGGTACTCTGGTTGTCACACCAGAGGGTGGGGGCTGACTGAGGGAAGCCAAGCTCTTGGAGTAGGAAGGTGAACCAACGGGCCTCCTGAGCAGCCATGGTGCCTGCGTAGAGCTCCGCCTCACAGGAGGAGAGGGAGACTGCAGACGACCTGGTGGAGCGCCAACTGACAGTTCCGCTCCCGAGGGTGAAGCAGTACCCCTGAGAGGAGCGCCGGTCGGTCTGGTCATCAGCCCAGGAGGAGTCTGTGTAACCTTCCAGGCGAGGAGGGGAGAGCCCACCGAGTGTGAGAACGTGGGACTTTGTGCCCTTAAGATAGCGCAGCACCCGCTTTGCTGCCTTCCAATGAAGATTAGTGAAGCGACCCGGGGCCACGTAACGAGAGAGAACACTGACTGGGTAGGCCAAGTCCGGTCGGGTGCACATCATGGCGTACATGAGGGACCCAACAAGTTCCGGGTATGGCTCAGAGCAGGCCTCTGGTGTGGGTACAGCAGGAGCTGTAAGGAGGTGTTGCAGCGGCAGCGGGGTGGCAACAGGTGTGCACAGCTCCATCTCAAACCGCTTGAGCACATTGTCGATGTAGAACTCCTGGGAGAGTGAGATGGTGCGAGCCTTGCGATCACGAGTGATCTCCATTCCCAGGTAGTGCTTGAGGTCACCAAGGTCTTTCATCTGGAGGGCCTTGCTCAGGGCTGCCTGGACAGAGGTCATTTGGGCCGAGTCCTTGGCAACGAGGATAAAATCATCCACGTAGACTAGGATGTAGAATGGCTCAGAATGACGACGGATGAAGAGAGTCGGGTCAGCAGTTGAGGGGTGGAAGTCCAGGGAGAGGAGGACTTCTTTCACCTTGTTGTGCCATTCGCGAGGGGCTTGTTTAAGGCCGTAGACGGGGCGATTCAGCTTCCAGACTGTGTTGGGAGGGAATTCTCCTGGGAAGCCTTCTGGTCTGTCCATGAACACTGTCTCCTTGAGACGTCCTTGTAGGAAAGCGGAGGAGGCATCCATGGATTTGATCTCAAAGTCTTCTCGAGCTGCAACATCCATGAGCGTTCGAATGGTGGGAGGTTTGGATGTGGGGGAGAAGATTAGGTCGAAGTCGCGGTACCGCTGCTGGGTGAAGCCCTTGGCTACGTAACGCGCTTTGAACACCGGTGCCTCGTCTGGGAGCTGTTTTACACGGAACAACCACTTGCCCCCGACGATGTTGACTCCTGGAGGTGGAGTCTCGTCATCGAAAGAGTGGTTGCGAGTGAATGCTGCAATCTCCGCGTCCATGGCAGCACGCCATTCGGCAGCATGAGGGCCTGAGAGAGCCTCTTGGACGGTGAGAGGGATAGGGATGGTCGGGTTCTCCGCGAGGTTGAGGGAGGGTGAGCCAGTGATATCGGGGAAGATGTGTGAGAGCTGAGGAATGACTGCATGGAGATCACACAGCTCCTCATGCCTGTCTTCTAGAAGGGTAGAGGGCACATCCCCCCCAGCAGGAGGAGGCGGTGTGATCATTGTGTATCGAAGAACCATTGCGAGTGGAAGAGCAGCGCGATGGGAGCGGGTGCCATGAGCCACCGGTGAGGAGGGCGGGGCAGGCGGTGTCGGAGAGGGTGACTTAGGAGGCTTGGGTGGGGGAATGGGCCGCCGGCGGTACGTGATCAGCTCGGGCG